CTTGGTGTGGTTTTACAGTCTGATATGTGGTTTTTCTGAAGTACAACTCCTAGAGAGGCTGTATTTCCAGATGACTGGCAAAATGACTGCTGAAATGCATTAATTAACCTTTCCGTTCACATAAAAGTGTTTCATGAGAACAAATGTACACAAAATGTTATCTTTAATCATGACTCATAAAAATTGGTTATTATAAACATGGATTTTACTACTACACATGTCCCCCCTGACAAATGACAAGGTCTCATCCCTCCATTAAAGATAATTAAGACTGATTTACAAGGGTCTCAGAGCCCCCCTATAGGTCTCTCCTGCCTGTCTGCTTCTGAGGTGACACTACGATGAGATGAGAATCTTACAGTAATAGCCACTAGTTACATGGACTATTGATACCTAGGCTGAACGCCTTTTAGTTCTAAACTTATTTCATAAAGCCAATTTTAAAATTAAATATCTAGAGTCTGTGGAAGGAGTTAAGGCTCCACCTGAAAGGTCCCAACCATGATGAAACTGGTAAAATTAAGCCTTTTTTTAAAAAGTTGTGATCATCATGGTTGATCATGTGCTGCTTTCAGCTGAGACTGCAAATGGCCATGCGTTCCATATGTTTAACTCCAAGGTCTCATAGTTTTCTCCTCCAAAAGCCTAAATCATAGAAATTAAAGAAGTCTCAGATTAGTTATCAAAGCTCCTCATCAGTGAAGGTGTTTTGTCAAGGTGAGTCTGTGAACAGTAAGGTCAAGATCATCTGTGGTCTTGCACAGCGGAATGACAGCACTGCAGGCTCGGCCTCCAGCATGGGAGGACCTCTGACACTGGGCAGGTGTGAAACCAGCAGGGACTGCTCAGAACAGAGTCTGCAGCCCCCGATGGCCTGGGCTACCTGACTGACCTGAGGACAGTTATTTCACCTTTCATGTCTCATTTTTTTTCACCTGTACTGGAATCTACCTCTTCCAAGTATTAGATGACTAACATGGTTAATTAATCATAAGCAAAGAATTTACAATGCTGCCTCACCAGTTATACGTGCCATATAAACATTGACCAAACATTGCAAGTCATTTCTTTCTAGAGAATCTGAAATTTATGTTAGAAAACTGATTTGTGCAAGGAAGGAATAGAGCAAGAGAACTGTTAAAGCGCTAGTGAAGAAAACTTCGTGGATCAAGTTCTTAAAGTTTAGATTATTTTGTCTTCTCTAAATGAGAATTCTATCCATGGCAGACTTCCATGATTATTTAAAACACATATTGTCTCAGCATGTCTTCATTTTTAAATCTACTGCATATTGCAAAAACCGAGTTCTGCAGCTTCTCAGAATGAGCAGTTAAAAGCAGAAACAAGAAAGACTGAACGGGTGACCCTTTAGGCTTTACCTTGCGTAACGGTGTACCCACTAACTCTTCTTTATTTGGGATTGTGTTTTTCATGCTTACTTGGGAAGTGCTGTGTTTCTAAATTCACATATTTCATGTGTAGTATTTTTGCAGGATAGAAATTCTAAAAACATGTGAATGTTTGCATGGCCAGCAACTCATTGCACTGGCAAACTGGCAATATGGTACCGTTGATGCTATTCCTTTCAGTCTCATTTCTCTCTCCAGTTTGGCTTGCTTAGAACGTTTTAAATATTGGAGACCCTTGGTTGGGTTAAGTAGGCAAAAATAGTGTGCACAATTTGTTCTCCAACATACAGCCACATATATTAATGCTTTTTCTAATGAGATATATAGGAAACAATACTGTTAGAATAAATTGGTAACTAATAAGGATGATACATTTTAAGAGAAAATTTTAGTGCCGTTCAACCCAGTCAATCCTCTGTTTTAATTTCCTCAGGCTGTGAAGTGCTTGTGGTGAGTGAGCTCTGAGGGAAATGAGGTTAAACCTTGTGCACCTGTTCCTCATGTAAAAGGTTCTGGCTGAACTTTCTCTTCTGCATCTGGTTTGTAAATAACGGGAAGCTGGCATGATTGATTTATTGCCCTTCTCCATTGTACCACAGCCACATCCATTTCTTCTTCTTAGGCCAGACAAAGAGACACACATTTTCCATATTTCTCTTGGAGGTCTGCTGAGTGAGTCCTGTAACATGAATATATTTTTAAAAGTCCAATTAAGAGGAGTGATGATGCAGAACACATTATCCCCAGAGGAATAAAATCCCTAAGTATACAAATTTGGAGGTGAAATCTTTTGTAAAGATTGCCATGTGCTGAAAAACACGCAGACATACTCTCAGAGTTTACTATCAGAGGTACATTATGTTTTTAGAAAATATACACTTTGTGGTCAGAATCAACATCGTTTGGGTGCTGGTTATATAGTCTGCTCTCCACCCAGGCCTCTTGGATCCTAATTTGCATTCTAATAGGATCACAATTCATTCCTATGCAAATCTAAGTCTGGGTAATATGGTTATTTGACACTTGAATATTTTACAGATGGACTATATTTAATATAAAATAGAACAATTTCCCCTTATCAATGCAAATAGGAGAAAAGAAATCCACCTTTCATAGTCCTAAAAATTTGAGGCTTAGTTGTCTGTTACCATGTTAAAATTAACAAAACATTTTCACTAAACTAATAAAACTGTTGCAAGGAGATGCTTGATAACTGATGAAAGCCGCCAAAAGTTAGATTGAAATCACGTATTTGGTTCAGGCAGGTACATTTTTAATGGAGGAAGAAATGAAAGATAGGAAGTATAATCCTTTTCATTGCAACATCTTATCCACCTGTTTCAGATTAGCAGGCTTTCTGGCGGACCTGATTCTGCCACTCAGTGTTTTCAACATCAGGCACTGTTTAGACACAGGAATAAATAAATAATATTTTTGTTTAACGTATTGTTTAATTTTAACATTAAAACATCATATTCCCAAATAATTTTATTATTACTACTACTACTACTGTTGTTTTTCAACCAAACACCCACCACAAACTCCCAGGAATAATGTAAGTGGTATTATGATAATGTATTGAAACAGAAAAAGTAAAATCATAAGGGAATAATTAACCAGAGTCTATGCTTACTTGCAAATTAGGATCCCTCATTTCATCTTGTCCCTTGAACACATGCAAAAACTAGCTGTGTTAACGTGTTGAATAAACAATTGAATGATGAAATAAATCAGAAATTTTATTAAAGAGCTAATATTTAGAAAAATTTGACTGCCCTCTAGTGGGGTGAAAAGCTGATGCAGAATGCAAGGATTTTCAACTGAGAGATTTCAGGAGAAAGAACAGCCTAGGTTCTGGAAATGTCTGGGTCCCTGGCCAATTCAGTATTTCTGTAGCAAATCTCTCACATTTTTCATATAGAGCCATAGATCCTGTGATGACAGAATCTTGTGTTGTTCCACAACCAGAAGTAAACTGATGTGAGCTGGGCTTAGCTCTCAGCAGCCTGGGGCTGGCCATAGCGTGGTCCAGGTTTGTGCTGTTAACCCCCGTTTTTTGGAGGCCAGCTCCACCCAGTCTCGTGAGGGCGGTGAGTTACCGAGCCGCAGGAGCCGCCAGTCTTAGGAAGCTGAAGTAAATAACAGCCATGACTGACAAACAGAATTTTCCTACAGGCTACCTGGATGCACCAATGCAAAAATGATTAAACATAAGATGCATTTAGTTCACCTTACATTTCATTTTCAATTGTACAGATTTGACTTAAAATTCTGCTAGATAGCTTCTGTCAGATATTCACTAAGCATATATTTGAATCCTAAATTATATGGAGAAAAATTATTTTATTGTATGAATCAGCTTGATGGGAATGGGAAGACATTTTGTGAATCTAAAAGAAATGTCTTTCACGGCATCTTACCATGGAGTAGGAGTTATCTGAAGGAAGTCATTTCATATCAAATGAAACACCTATTCCACAATCTAGCCTTTACTAATCGAAAAATCAACAACACACAAAGTAAAGTCCATTGCAAAATCATTGTGAATGTTGACTAAAAAGTTCTAGACTTTAATATCACAAATTATCCAGTGTTGTCATTTTAAAATGCACGTTTTAACAGAGAATTTTGACATTCACACACAAATACCACTAGGTCTGTCCATTCATTGCAGGATGCACAGTGTACTACCTGGGCTATAGAGTGCTAATTGCAGGTTCAGCTTACGCGAGTGGGTTTGCAATACACCGACACGATTCGTAGCGAAGCTACTGCTGTTTCTCCTCACTCTTAGTTATTTATATGTTCATTTAGAAGATGGCCTCTTCATTTGAGAAGATAATGGGGAGTATTCTGAGCACCTACTACACTCATGCTGAATACAGTAATTGTTTCATGAATCAGGAAAAAAAAAGGCCTCCGCCTTGCTGATTAACTGGTCAGGCTGAGCAACTGGAATGACTTTCAAATCTATCACGTGAATATTGCAGAGGTAGTGTTTCTGTTCACGGCCTGCAAATGCAGCTTAGTTACGGCAATATACATTTATATATATATCCCTGCATGTGTTAGCTATGGGGTGGGATTGTCTGCATAAATCTGAGACCATTATCACGTATCAGCAGCCGGAAGAAGAGTTCTGAGGAAAATAATGTAAATGTCACGCATCAAAGCCAGCATTTATAGGTTTATAGACACAACTTTATGCGGAGATCCTACCATCTCAATTATATATGCATGTTGCCACGCACTGCAGTACAATTTTCTGCAGAGAATTTTCCAGCAAGTTCCAGCAATCAATGGCACACACACTCTGCCCTTTGCAATCACACTAACACGCATAACCCAGACAGGTAGCCAAAATATAGTTGCTTTATATCTTAAAAGAAAAATCAGAGACAAAATTTTCTAGAGGGAGGAGAGTGAAGGCCACCGCGAAGGAGTGAATGCAAGGGTTCGTTCATCCTTAACCACAACCAATGTCCCTGCAAGGGAGAATAAAGCCACTGAGTCATGAAGTCATCACAATGCTGATCTGAAATAACAACACCGAAGAAGACGAATTTGCAAGCGCTCTCTTTCTACAGATACCTCTAAGTGGGTGTGCAGAGAGTGGAGACGGCCAGCCCTTGGACCCCATTCTCAGAGCCATTCTGGATAGGCAGGCGAACTGGGAACTGTGGCAAGCAGCAGGAGCTCAGGACACTGCGCAGAAAGCCTTCTCGCCGGCGGTCCCCGCGGGGGCGAGCGCCGCGCTCGGGGCGGGGCGCAGGGCGCCTGGCTCAGGGTGCGCAGGGCGCGGGGCGCGGGGCGCAGGGCGCGGGGCGCGGCGGCCGGCTCTGCAGGGCTGGCGGCTCTCCACGCCGCGCGCTCGCCACGTGCGCCCCCGCCCGGCCGCCGCCAGCCGCAGCTGCGAGGGTGGGGCCGAGCCGCGCCCGGTTGGAGAACGGGGTCCCGGCTCCGGAGACCTCGGTGGGAGGGAGGCCCGAGAAATCAAGGCGTGGTGTGTGTGTGTGGGGGGTGGGGGGGAACCGAGGGTGCACCGTGATAAGGTCCCGAGCCCTGTGGGCTGTGGGTGGCTGAGAAGAGAAGGCCTTCCCCGCACCCCCAGGGAAGGGTCACCTCTGCGGTGCCGCGGTCGGGCGGGGTGCGGCCGCGCCTTTGTGTGGCCGGGGCGGGGCTGCAGCCCGCCTTCCTGCAGTGCCACCCTCCTCTCTGCAGGGAGGGGCACGTGGCGCGCGGGGACCGAGAGCAACGCCCATGTGTGCGCACAGCCAGGGGGCTGTTCTGGGCGGCGGGTCCCGGGACCGCAGCCCACTGCACGGCCCCCCCATACCCACTACCCCGCCCGTCTGTGAGCCCCAGGTTTTCCCAGCTCCACGGGGAGCGTGGGGCAGAGCGGAGCCACCCCGATGGAGCCTTTTCTGCAGTTTCCTACCCCCCTTGCCCCCTCTCAACCCTCCCTTCATCCGCACCCTGGCCCAGCACGGGTGGAGGGGTGGGGGGTGGGGAGGGTGCAGCCCGCAGACCTCAAGGCCCCTCCCTGTCGGTCCACCCCCGGCTAGAGAGCGCCGCAACCACCGGTACTCTGCGCCTAAGACCCATTGCGGATGCAGGCCCTGATCGCAAATTTTATTCAGTCTGTTTTTCCGCTGTTTCTCTGACATAGGTCAAACTGGCGAATTTGTCGAGACGTGGCCCTCCCTGTCTGACCCATAAAATGGACATTTCACGTGGGCTTAACTTAAAACCTTGCCCCACTCTTTTTTTTTTCTTTTTGCTTTCTATTGAGTTTTGACACCTTTATCTCCATCATCCTGTATCTATCTTTAGGGTTCAGTAGTTTTACTTTATTATTTATGTATATATTTATTATTTTTCACCCCCTTCCTATCAAAGCATCTTTTTTTTTGCATCTCTGGCTAATCGCCCTATGCAACGTGTTCTGGAAAGAAAAAAACAGTTAAGTCCCCCTTCTCATCGCCCCCCACCACGTCACAGAACAATGAGGCCAGGGTGGGGCGGCTGGGTGTCAGCGGTCAGGTCCACCAAACCCAGGCCCGGAGGCTTCAGGGGCGCAGAGCAGAGCGCGAGGCGTGGTGCCGCGTTCCCGCAGGGCTGGGCTGCGGCGCGCCCGCGCCCCTCTCGGCCCCTAGGGCTGGGTGCGGCGTGGGGTGGGGGCGGTGCAGTTCCGCACAGGGTGGGGCTGTCCGCATTGTGTGCCCTGCGCTGCAGGTGCCTCCCCCCACCCACCCTCGGGACCGCTGGTCGGTACACAAAGAAACCCCACCCCACGCCTGGCGAGCCGCTGTCCCTCCACCGCGCCCCACCGCGCGCTTCCCCGCCCCCGCAGCTACCCACCCGCGCCCTCCACGCCCTCCCCGACTTCCCTGCTCCTTGCTCCCCCGGCCCCTAAAACAAAGGAGCGGAGGTCTTATCCCCAGCCCTTCCCCCGTAGCCTTACCTCCCAGCGCCGCGCCCTGGGACTAGCGGTTTCTTCGATGAGACAATACCCGGTACCGTAAAAATGTGTCCCTCTCCCCCCACCCCCGTCTCCACCCATTTTTCAGACAACCTAAATGGGACCGTTTTGGCTGCGTCTTTTCTTTCTCCCTCCTCCCCGTTTCCCCCTTTCTCCGTGTTCCTCTTCAGGGAAGAAATAAAGGACATTACAAAGCACTTTCCGAAATGTCCCTTAATCCTATTTAAGACAGACACTTAGGGCGGCCCCCTTCCCTAAAGACTGATCTGTAATATAAGATATGGAAACAATAAATAAATTCCCCACCCATGGCACGGAAACTTACCTGTTCTATCTTTTAAAAGAAATTCTTCCCTTTAGATTTCCAAGGATCCCTTCGCCCCCAAACTACCCTCCCACCTCGCCCAGATCTGCCTCTGCCCTTCTATGCTCTCGTGTTGCCTCAAACGTCTTTTTCTGTTTCTAAAATAAATGTCTCCAAACGCCTTCAGAGCGCCGAGGCAGGTGGTGAGAGGTGGGCTCCAGGTCGAGCCCAGGGGGAAGGAGCGCAATGTCTTACCCATTGCTGTTTTAGCCATTGTAGGACGCGCAGATGCTGAGCGTTGGCGAAGGCGAAGGGTCCGGCTCTAGCAGCGGAGAGAGCGAGAGAGAAGACTGAATAAGGCACTGAGTCTGCAGAGTGGGACCGAGCTAGAGAAAGAGCAAGAGGCAGGAGCCCATGAATAATTATCACTCCGAAGCTCAAGCAGATTGGCTCCCAAGGTCCCCTGACATGACTCCCGCAGAGTCAGAATCTCTAAGCATTAAATATTGATCTGCCAATGGTGCTGGAGTACAAAGTACCACAATGCAGTTTGAAATGGAAATCAGTCCTTCCCTGGCAGCTCCCCCCATGTTTGGGGACTGATAGTACAGTCCAAGGAGAGTGGCGCCTTAGCCCAGAAACCTCCCAGGAGCTAAGAACTGGGCTGTGCCCACCTGGGAATAAGGGTGCTTGACTTTGTTCACACATGTGTTACTGTCCCAGTAACAGGAAAAAGGGGAAAGGGGAAGCGAAGGCCCGAGAAGCCCTTCAAATATGCTGGTTGTTGGCCGGGGGAGGGAGGATTCTGTTTCGGAGTCCGTGTTTTTGCTATTTCATGGTTTCTCTTCACCTTGGCCTGTTTTTGGAAGGCTTTGGTCTCTTAGGGCCACTCTGTATCTGGCTGAGGTGGCAGCTCAGAATACCCGCGTGTTATGGTCCCTTATTTTCTTGCCCTGCTGAACCCAGATGTCTCTGAAGTCTTGAGGGTCAGTTTGGAGAGAAAGGCCTGTTCTTGGTTTCCACTGGAACAGAGAAAGGGCTTTCTTGCACGCTGGATTGGGATGGTAATGATGCTGCACTTGGGAACCTGGAGGAGGAGTGTTGAGACTCTTGTGCCTGGGTTCTGTCCATCTGCTAACAGTTTGGCTGCATGTTGGGTCACTGGGGAAGCCACAGGTGGAAAGCTCCTGCCCTGGAGGCTTAGGGTAACAGACCCTGAGACTTTAAGTATCTTTCTGGGACTCTAAAGACAACCCTGGGTATTAAAGTGTACTTGGAAATGGAAAGTGTGGTCTGGGGCATGGTTTTTCTGAAATCTAGAGACTCCATTAATATAGGCCAGAGTTCAAATTTCAGACTGGGAAATGTGTGATGTGTGGACATATTTGAGATATTCATTTGCAAAAAGTGATTTTTATGGAGACCAGGAATTTACTAATTCATTCTTCCCAGTGTATCTACTGAGCTTACCTTGAGCGTGGCTCTGTGACAATATATGAATAAAATTTTAGGATTTTTCTTGGTACTTCTTTTAAATTGTCATTAATTTAACACTTCTGTGACTTCACTGAATCCACGTTGAAACTGATTTTGATATTAGAAAAAAGGCCTATAATTGTTTATTCCAATGTATTTGAATGTTGGGAGAGCAGCGCATTGTTGCAAACATGAATTTGCATAAAATCCTGGCAAGTTTTACATTTTATAGAAACAATTGGGACTTTCATAATCAATGTAAGAACTTCTCAGCAGTTTTCTATCACACATTTTTCTAAATCTCATCCTAGCCTGGCGAGTAATAGATGGTTTCAAAGCCAAGAAATAATTTGAAAACAAGAGAACTGTCCTTGGTGCTGAAATAAATTTCTTCGGTTGCTAACTTGTAAGGCATTTTAACTACATGGACATCTTGCTGAATAATAGGAAGCTCTGGAATTGGAGTATTACTGATCTGCTGAATCATGCAGGAAATAAAATGGAGATCAATAAAATTATTTCTTGAGCAGGAATATTGAAAATTATTGTTTCTGTCATTGTCCAGGTCTGTGACTATGACACAGCAAGAGAGCAATATGGAAATAAGTAACAAGTTTCTGCATCTTTGTACCAATTTCCAACGTTAAATATGAGTTGGTTACATCTCAGCCAAGCAGTTACCAGTTGTGAAAGGAGGGGTCTTCAGCTTCTCTGTGTGACTCCTATTTTTAAAGTATTTCTCTTCTCCCTAATATGCCCCTACCCTTCAGGCTGTGTAATCTTCATGCATTCTTCAGATTCCATGAAGAACAAAGATTCTAAATCATGGCCAGTTATATCTTTAATAACCATAATCGACAGTTGAATGAGATCTATTGTACTATGAACACTATGAGAAAAAAATTCTACTCTTCTAATCTCAGAGGGAGGTCAGGAGAAATAGGGACCAGTATTAGATGTGTGGTTGTTTCCCCCTAATTTTGACTTTCTGCATATTAGTCCCCCACTTTCAGTTAAATATGAATTTCAAATAGTATTGGAATATGCTTCCATAATTTTCTGTAGGATACAGATAGCAGATTATTCCCTGTAAATGTGTGAAGAACAGAGGATGGTTACCAGGTACCCGGTACAGTTAGACAGGAGGGATCATTTCTAATGTCTTATGGTAAACAGTTTTCATGCTGTAAAAATGTGTTGATACAGTGACTGTGCTACTCAAAAAGTGGGCATGCACTACATTAATCAGAAGACAAATGAAAGAAAAATGAAACAATAAATGAAGGAAAATATGCTGGACTTTTTATGAAAATGACGCTAACTTTGGAGTGTCATCCTGTATATTATTTTTAGTGAAAATAATAATAGAAAAGATAACACAAACTGTAAGTAAGAGGGTATTTATTGGCTCATTGGATCAAAGAGAGTGGGCTCCAAAGTCCTGAAATGAGAATCAATTCTTCGTGATTCAAATGGCT